TTATCATCATCTTTGTATATATTTATGAAATAGGACAAATTCACGAATGTCATCTGAGCAGTGAAACTGACACTTCATTGAAAATAAACATATTTAAATGATAGTAAAAGATTTTATTAAAGGTGAGCTCTTCGTTCTTAAAACCTTACGTGGCAAGACACTAACATCGTCTTGCATCTTCTCATGTATAGCTCATGGATCGGTAGAAGGTAGCTGCTGGAGTATCTGTCTACTCAAACCACCTGATAAAATCTACTTAAGATGCTGGAAACGGAGATGCTGAGAAATGATAAGGAAGAGGATTAAGGACGAGGACTGCGGCTTTCGCATTGGTGGCAGCGTCGTAGAGCAGATCTCTGTTCAATGCCACGACTGCGAAAAATGTTAAGAGTATGCAAAGGAGCTTCCTGCCTGCTTCACAGATCTAGAAGAAACGTAAAACAGTCTATTGGTCGAAGCTATTGAGAATGCTGCAAGAATATGGGGTGAATGATAGCGGAGAAGGACCACATCAAATCTTCAAAAGGATACTCATAGATATATGCACTGATTAATGACAAGAATATAATGCATTTCAGGTGTGCGTTGGTTCCCGTTGGTTCCCACAAAGGCTGTGTGCGGTCTCCTTTTTATGAATTGCATATCGGTAGGCACAGTCCATGCGCCGAAAACATCAGTTGGGGAACAGCGGTTTTGTTTTCTCAGATCAAATTTTAATGTTCGCCACCTCCAATGAGGACGTTCATCATACACTTGATCGTTTCGCTGCTGCAAGATATGGGGTTGGAATGAAAATCAGTCTGAACAGAACTGAGGCGTCTGTACCTTCGAGAAAGTCTACTTAGTACGTCATTCAAGTACGTCGAATGAAACTAAAGCAGGCAAATAAATTTTGTGTATCTCTGGAAAGGTTCATCGAATGATGACACAAGACGTGGAAAAAGTCACGAAGATCAGCTAGGTGAGCGCTGCAACGCAGCAGCTAAACCAGCATTTCGTGATAAGGAAAGAACTGAATAGTAAAGTGAAGCGATCTACAAACTATCCTTGCCAATGGTCACGAGTGAGGAATAATGAGGGATAAATGAGATCCTGATACAGGCGAAAGAAACTAGTTTCTTACCAGGATTGCCGGTATGAAAAATTTCCAAATACGTGTGTTCGAGATATGCTCGACTGTGATCGATCTTTCTCAAGATCACGACAACACAACTGGCCTGGACATGTGATTAGAATGCCACAGGAAAGGCGTACTAAATGGTTCTGCCCTGCATTGGAACAGAAACTAACAAGCATGTCCTTATCGACGGATTTGAACCATTGGATATGCCACCGGAAGCAACTGCTTCCGCCATCCGAAAAGAAGAGTGGGCTTTAAAAATGAACGAGACAGTGGCTCGTAATCTTAACTTTCAATCTACAGCAGCTATTTACAGTTCAGAAGCTTATCCGCATGAAAATTTAAAATTTGGTTCTGTTTCACAGTTAAAAACAAATTCTTCTGCATAATAAAATATTTAGCATGAGACCATTTTCTACCGATGTTGTGCGTTGATAAGGAACATTTTCACATTTCGAGAGCACCGCAAGAAAAGTTTCAGGGCCAGAATTGTTTTACCATTGTTTACTTTTAAACCTATGTATGCACTTTAGGAAAAGGTTGGCTTTAGTCTCTCCCAAGGTAAATTCATAGTCGCGAATGAATAAAAACTAATTTAGCCTCAAAACAAACCTTTAGACCAAAAATTGTCGCTTTTCCAGTCGCAAGCTCTTGCTCAATTTCCCGTAACGACGATTCAACGAACGAGCACCGGTCAGCAAGTTCTGAAACAAAATGCAACCTGAAATCCTGAATGATCGTCAACTCAGGGAGACATACTCTCTAGAGAACTTTTAAAGTTGCTAACATCCTGCGGTTCAGCTTTCAGTGCAGCACATGCCGTAACTAGCTGCTCAGGCAATGACACGTCAGTTTCAAGCGACTTCAAAAATCCTTCGATGTCAATCGCAGCACAAAACTCCCTAAATAACGATATGAACGAACGATAATCACACACGACAGCCAGTATTACTTCAGCTCGTGGTCTTTTTTCTCCACTTTTTCTGTTACTTCCCGCAAAAGTTTTGCTTTCTCTTCGCTGAAAAATTCAGTACATAGGACTCGTTTATGAAGATGATCACTCACTTCAAAAGCATCAAACTATGTTGAACATAAAATAAGGAACTGGTGTTTCACAAAACAGTTACCAACCAGGAAACGGGGCGTTACAGTGAAAATCCTAATTGCGGGATAGAGTTAAAACCGACCCAATACAAAACACACAGGAGGGGAGAAATTTTACCGGCAGTGCAGTTACGGCCACACTTGGCTAGTTTTATCTGATTAATGTATTATGATACTGTTTTCGAAAAATAATTTTTTATTGTCTTTTACGCATGCACAAGGCTTCGAGGGGAGAGGGCAAACCAACCTGTATAACGACGAGAGATTGTGTATTTCTAACGGAATCAATCGCGAAAAAATTTCTGGCCCAGAAACGTCCTTGTCATGGGTGTCGAAGCCAAGGGGCTTGACCAGCAACGCCCCTAAAAAACATCAGCATCACAACGAACAGCATTAACAGAATGCAAATGGCGTGCAAACCTTTCAACACAGGCATCGACTCCAAAGTCGGCGTCAATTCATGGTATACAAAGTCGTTCTCCTTTTTGGCGTTGTCGTATCTGGACAAAATGTCACATGATGAATGACTTAGGTCAACAAAATACTTACTTGGCAATGACAACGTCACGGACGAACGAAATGGCTTGGCCGGCCGACGTCTGGTCAACAGAGCCGATGGACTGCAGCATTTTAGATGCGTCCGCGATGTTCGTCTTCGCGGCGGTGTAGAACGTCAACCGTTCACCCATTTTTCTTTCCTCATCTGACTGCATACCCCGATACAGATGGGTTATCGCCATGTAATACGATAATTTGATTAACATAAATTTCTTCCAGTTCTAAAAAAAGAGCGAGCGGCACAATCAAATCTTCCGCTTCATGCAATACATCAGTTAATGAACGGCAATACACAAAACGCCTCAAAGGCCATTTAGCCATTGCAGACTATTTCCGACACGAGAAATCCGTCCTGCAGCGGATTCGCCGATTCCGGCAGGCTACAGTTACGGACTGTATGGTTGAAACGTGAGCGGCAATCGCTTATAGCATATATAGACCAAATGCTGGATGACCACAATAATCCTTAGTCAGCTGAGTAGCAAGGACTCCGTCTAGCCACATCGGATACTCCATTGACTGTTGTACATTTGCCGCTATAAGCATGAAACAGTTCATTCACTTTCAGTCTAATCTGTTATTTTGCGGATCCACGACCTATCAGCGGCATCGGCCTGCTTTTTTGGACAGCGTATTGGAAGATGGTTCTTAAAAAGACGCTGAACTGCCAGAAATGACCACATGGCAGCTTTTGGATTCCGAATGTGGAGAACAGTGGCTTTAGCTTAACAGAAAGACTTTCAGTTACTAGTTCACCTAAAGATTCCATTGAAGATGTCGAGAAGGCTTCATTTGGAATGCCTGTTGTTCTCCGTTGCCACCACAGCATTAAGGTTTTATAACCGCGCAGAGACTGAACTTAACGTTACACGCGCGTCGAACAACTGGCCTCCTTCAGTGACTAACGGATCTTAATTTATGCAATTTCCCTTTCAAATTGGTTCCAGCCTTGAAATAAATGCCACAACAAATGGTAATCGGGAACTAACGTCAGTATAGATGTTGCATCACTAGTGCTCCTTGCATTCCCCGTATTTTCGAACTGTTGAACGTTTCCGGCCTTTATCGTCAAGTTCCTGAAGGGTAAAGAAACGGCAATCTTGGACGGGACTACTCAATGTAAAATATTTGAAACAGCTACCGAATTTTGAAACCGGTAGAGATTTAGACTCAATCGCCTCATCAGCGAGTCCGTGTGTTAGGAAACCTTTTAAGATGGACAATTAGAATAAAAGGCAGGAAGAGAGGTGGGAAAGCTGAATATCGTTAAAATTCCATTTAAAAGCTACTGCATGGCTACCCACTTTGAATGGGCTACCGCCAACTGTTTCGACCATCGCTGGACTATCCATTGCGTCTGCACATTTTCTATACAATTCCGCGATTTCAAACGCAATTTTGGCGACGATCAAATTTTTTCTGGTGTCGATCAAGGACTTCTCGAGAATACACTCTTGAGCTTGAGCCTAAAATAATGAAAAGTAGCATAAGAACTTAAACAAACGATGCAAACAAGGCAACTTTCAGGACATCACTTCTACAGCAGTAACCGTCTAAAGATAAAGCGAGTAATATAACTATAACCTAGGCCTGCATAAACATACAACATCTGCAAGAACCTCTGCTGTTAAAAAGTGATTACACTATGGCCGCGTCTAAAGATGCCGCTGATCAGGAAGCTTGAAGAATCGAACTGAATTCTCGCTGAAATTAATATTTTCAGAAGTTAGTAGGTGAGATATATCACGTCAAACAAAGGATAAACCTGATCTAACGTCTGTTACCGAAAGCCGTACGCGTATGTACTCATGCATTTTACATGACAAAACGAAAAAGTCTTGGCAACGGTTCGCGTGGCAGTATTCCTTTCATTTCCATCCTGGGCGTCATTAGCAGCGGCCACCTGTTATAGAATTTATTGTAGATCCGGTTTCCGTTTCTCCGCCACCAGTCAGAACTGCTTATTTTATTAATGGCGTGTCTAAAGTTACGTAGCACACACCTCCACACTATGTCGTTTTCCCCTTAAGTAGTCTTATCAGCTGATTTAAATCGAATTCATTAATGGTGAGTGACCGTTTAGGAGAAAGAGTTATAACACGCAATTTCTCGGTTGATTCCGGCACTCTACCGACTGAGCCACCCAAATATGAACATTAGGAAACAACGTGAATGAGACATGAAAGTTGACCTATTAAAACCAATGCACTACAACCGTTCACGTTGGGTGAACAGGCACGTTCCTCACGAACAGACATCAGCAATTAGAAAGACATGCGCGGCGAATTCTTGTTCGATCAATGATATCGAACTACAATCTCACTGAACAGACGTTCTTCTCGACAATACGCTGCGTTGTACACTACACTCTGGCACAAATAAAAACATTTGTCAAAACAACGCTGGGACGAAGATTGGACAACAGCGAACGTGCAAATGTCATGCATCAATCAGCTGTTTAATCGAACGCAATGCATAGCTATCACTACTCACCCCAACTGGAAATTAAATTTACCTAAAGACGCTGTTCGTACTGTTTCCGAGTAAAAAATATGCAACTTTATAACAGTTTATTGTTCATAATGTAAATAATCCGTCCCCTTAATTTAGAGCCTTGGTGGGAAGTGAGCGGCTAAGCAAGCCATGACTCATGGATGTTTCACCTCTTGCAGTACAGAGAGAGGCAAAACAGCTCTATCTGAGCACAGAACAATAACAGTCTGTTCGAAGGATCAACACATCTATTCTGTAAACAATAATAACACCACTATGTTTCGTCTGATAGTTATGTACAAATATTTACTTAATTACATGTTTGTTCATTTGCTTCCTCACTATCACTTGCTGATTAGCTGTGCTTTAACTTTGTACGGCATAATGGAACCACGCTGTACATACAGGCCAATGGGGTCTCTATAAGCACGTCAAGACTCCATGGTATTATAGCATGCGTAGCGTACAGACGCAAAACTACTCTACTCTGTGGTGTCTAACAGCAGGCTAACGCTTGAAACATTCACCCATGGCATTTGCAGACGACGACACGCAAAGAACACATTATGAACCAACAAAAGTTAACTTTCGCCACTGCTGGCAAAAAAAATAAAATGCAGCAAAACCACAGACCGTTTAAAAGGATCCTAAAAACTAATCAGTGAAGTAAACCGGAGACGGACAGGTAAAGTCTAAGGATTTCTCTAATCTTCTGAATAATTCAATCATCATCATCAGCCTTTGTCGATCCATTGCTGGAAGAATGTCTCTTCAAGACTGTGCCATAAACTTATGTTATTCACCATTTTGATCCATCTTCATTCAGCGAAGTTCTAGGCTCATCCTTCTGTTGATCTGTGACCTTTTACGGGCCTCCTACTCTCCCTTAGAACCCAGACCAACGTCTGTCTGGTATACCGAAACTCGATTCTGATCGCAACCTGTGCAGCCTATTGCAACTTCTTCGCATGAACACCAACATCCTAGACTCTTGTCTGAGCTCTTGCCAAGTGAGTCGTCTTCCTATCTTTTTCACTATTCCCGACATCTTTCTATGCTGCGTCGCGTAGTCTGCAGTTATGAATAGCTTTCAGACGTATGGTCCACGTTTCTCACCTATAGGTTAGTACTAGGAGCATACTCCGATCGAATATATTCCGTTGCAAGCACAAGGGCAGTTTCCAACATAGGAACATTTTCAATCATCCAAAAGCGCTCACTGTCATTTCTGTTCCTTTGTTTATTTTACTCAGTAGATCCTCCTTGCCGAAATGTGCTGTCCAAGGTTAGTTTCACTTTTCTGCAAGCCTAAATTCGTGGACTACAAGAAGTCACGCGGTCACATGTTTGCTAAACATGACCAGAGTCTTCTTCTGGTGGATTTTCGTTCTTATTTTCATGCTGGCGAAGCTAAGCTTTGAATTCTTTTCGTGCCTTCAAGAGGATCAGAAGTCGTCCGCAAACACCAGGTGGCGTAAGTCCATTTATGTTAAGCTGCCGATTTCAACGGAGTGTCTTGCAAACTTCTTCTACGTCTGTAGCGAATACTTCTGTGATATTGCGTCCAACTTTCGGAAGCCCTTTTCGACTCTGAACTTGCCTATGCTTTCGTGACGCTTCGCACTGGCGTTCCATTCATGTAAATCATAGCGATGAGGTTCATACATAACTTTAAGATCTCCTGACTTCTCAAGGAATCCAGTACCGAAATGACCGAGTCTCAAATCTTCTTCAAATAGAGAAACGAATGATCAATTTGATAATCTATCGTCTGACTTACGAGCTCTCTAATGGATTTTCGTGTTAAGAGAGGCGCAGAGCAGTCAAGCGATTACTACGTTGTTGGTGGAACGCTACGCTATCAGACACTGAATACCATGCGAAGATCTGGTGGCAAAAACAACCAGAGAATCAAATAAAAAACACCAACTTCGGCGGATACAAGAACGAAATCTGCAAACAACATATGACGGTTTAACAGGTCCCGATGATGACCACTCATGTGGAAACCGAATGGCAGTTCTTTAAAAACGGGATTCTCGAAGTTGCCGCCGGATGCTGCGGATTCAAACGGGTTGGTCTGCCGCATGGAAGTCAGAAAAGAACTGCTTGGTGGTCATGAGAGATACAAATGACAGTCAAAGAGAAGGCTGCAATAAATAAATGGCTTGGAAGCGAACAGCCTTCGATCCTTCTGAGATCGATAAATGACTAGCATGATGTCGGAAGCAGAAGACAAAACATTTCAGTGATGACGCATCTACAGATTCAAATCAAATAAGGCATTAACTATTGATGGGCTCGAAATGGGGATCAGAGATGCGAAACTTCCTTCTACAGCCAACAAACTTATGCGACATACGTTGTGTGCTGTAGATGCGAAAACGCATTGAGCCTGCTTGCTTAAATGATTCATCAAGCATTAAGAACAAGTAGCATGTGCAATAATGCCGTGAAAGTGGACTGAAAAAAATACTGTGCTTATTACGAATAGAAAATTGCAGAATAAATTTTCTTCTTTGCTATACAACAAGATCTCATTTCGACAGAGATTCTCATACATGACCTGACTACGAAGATACATTTTAAATGCGGTGTCAACAACTCTGGCACATATTTAAGCATCCATACATCTTACCAACATGATTTGTGAGAACCAATTCAAAATATGTGGCTCAAAGTCTCGGCTGTACTTGGCAAAAATACCGTACTGCTCGGCCAAACGTTCGAAAGACCATGCAGCGCATTGAAAGTGTGTACATGACGCCTTCATTCCCTGAAAAAAAAACGGAGCCAGCTCAACGACGAATCGCCTTCGCATTATTTACCTCTGAAGAAATGCGGTTATCCAGAGAACCGAGATATGAATGAAGCGCGCCGATATTATGTAAAATACATGCCATTTCAAAACGTACGTCGGCGACAAATACCGGTAGAGGCGTGTCAGAATGTTTCTCAAGCCTAAACTTCAGCAAATCACGTGGTTCCTGTTCGAACAAGACTATGTCAAATGACATTACAAGAAGGTACAATAAGGATCAAATATTCCTAAACGAAGGCTGGTTGTTGGAAAGACTGCAGCGGCGTAAAATATTATGCAAACACGCTCAACAAAAATTCAAACAGTGCAGGCGTATGCCATAAACTGTTTATGAACAAGCAACATAAGGATTTACGAACTTACAATGCAATATGTCTTCACATGATCATAAACCTAAATACTTCAAAACGCGCGCTTTAAAAGGTTTAGGCGTAATTATCCCCGGCATGACAGTAATCCTCTGGTTTTGGCGTAATGCGGAATTAAAAGCAGGTTTACGACTGTAACTCGTAGAATCTCAACGACCTTGTAACGTTCCAAAACCAAGACACGTCTAATCACTTATCAGTGCTATTTTTATTCGAAACCGAAGTTGCACTTTATTTTGATTATCACACTGAGCAGTCGGCAGTAAGGCAAGACAGAGTTAAGAGTGGCGTTCGCGTCGGACGGCATGGCCATACACATCGTCCATGCTGGTATGACCACGCCAAAACATCATCTGTCCTTATTATTCGCCAAGCATCCGACTTCCTATATGTTCCTCGGCTGGTTGTGCAGAAGCAAAATGCGGTTAATTCCTTTTAATTCCTTGCTCAAGGGAATGCATCGTTAAGACAATAATTGTCATTTCAGCGGATTCGTACCCTGCATATATATATCTTTATCAACCGGGCTTCAACCGGGGAAGAATAAACATTCGCGGAGAATGTGAGGATAGTGTTACGAGGATGCGGGGAGCCAACTTCTGGCAAAGTTCGCTCTAGAAAATACCTCAAGGTCTAATGATAACACAGTGACAAGATGAGAATACGCAGCCATCAAATACACACCCTCCCAACCTCAACGAGCCGTAGCTGGTTCCAAGACCGGTTGAAAAAGATGAGTTCGCTTCAAGAACGCAGCCGGCGGTAAAAACCAATGTCAAAGCCAAATATGACGAGTCAACGTACCTTTAGAAAGAACTATTGGACATTCCTCACAGATGAAGCGCAGCAGCAAATCCCGCAGTTGTGACAAATGAGCAAAGGAACCAGTTCTTGCGACGATGACAATTGCAAAAAGAGAGATCGACCTGCTGAAAAACGAAGCGAGAAAATGCGAATAGTCACTTGGAACATTGAAACAATGACGCGAAAGGACAGGGGGCTAACGGAAGCTCTTCAGAGAAGAATACTTAAGACAGCTTGAATTCAGAAGAAGAAATGGAAAAGTAAGTCGAAAGAGACAGGGCTAGGCTATAAGCTTATTTAATGTGAAAGATCAAGCAGAAGAGCTGAAACAGGAGTGCTCTTGAATGAAACGATCAAAGAGAGGGTAACAGAAGTCAACCCAATTAATGACAGAGTCGTAAGTATTTAGCTGTCTGGAAATTAATATCCTAAGTGCCTACGCCCCTCAGGCTAACCAGAACGAAGCTGAAAAGTCGACATTCTGGAAGAGCCCAGACATTGCACTGCAAGGCCACGAAACGAAAAACTGGTAATCATGGGTAACCTTAACGGGCACTCCGGGAAACATGGAAATGGGTCATGACAGAACCCATGGCGGACAGTACGTTAAATAAAGGAGGAGAGAACATATTGCAGATGGCATATGCATATTATACGGCTCTGATAAACACGTTATTCCAGAAAAGAGAAAACCACCTGCTAACTCATAAGAGCGGACAGATGAAAAGCTCGATTGATCACTTGCTGCTTCGAAAGAACGAAGTAAAGAACGTCAGAGACTGCAAAATTATCCCGACTAAACTGCAGCAAGAGAGCCCAGCAACTGATCCTAGATCTGGCACGACGACGTCCGAAGATACAGTGGTGAAAAATCGAAGGGAAGCTGAAAGAAGCGTTAACAACGAAAGTCACGAGAAAACTGATGAAACCAGACTGTAATAAGAAGGTGGATAAAGTATGGGAGCAAACGGCCAGCTTAATCATAGGCAATGTCAGAGGTGTAGTCGGAGAAACAAACGGCTCAATACATATCCAGAAAGAAGCATGGTGCTGGAATGCGATCGTGCAGACTACCCTGCAGTAGAAGAGCTGTGCAAGAAATGGCAGCTATCAAACAGCGCGGAAGAAAGAGTAAATATCACATGTCAAAGAGGGAGGCAAAGAAACCCGTCGCCTAAGCAAAGTCTGTGGCGTGTATTAGCTTATACGAAAAACTGGCAACGAAAGAAGGGGAAAAGGATATCTACTGCATAGCAAAAACTTGAAAAGAAGAACAAGGGACGTCGGTAGAGTGAAGTGCATAAACATGAAAACGGAGTGGTGTCAACCGATGAAAAAAATATTCGCAATCAATGGCGAGGACATTTTCAAACGCTGCTAAACGAAGAGAGGCCGCGGAAGAGATCCATCCCAGGAAACCACGGTCTAGGGGAAAAGATCTCACCGGATGAAGCAGAACAAACAAATAAAAAAATCCTTGGCCCGGACGCTGTTTTCAAAGAAGAGTGGAAAACACTGGGGCAAGAAAGCGTCGGTTGACTCTGCGCTCTATTCAGCAAAATTGTGTAATGTGAGAAAATGCCGCAATCATGGAGGCCGAGTATTTTGATGAAAATGTACAAAATAAAACAAGACATGCTCGCCAGTGAAAACTACCGGGGAATTAAACTGCTTAGTCACGCTCTGAAGCTATACGTGAAGGTGTTGGACAAATGACTTAAACAGGAGGTCGACATCACCCCAAACCAATTTGCCAGGCCGGTCAACAACGCATGCCATCTTTGCTTTAAGATCAGACATCGAAACATACAGTGAAGGAAGACAGAACATTCACGTGGTGTTCACAGAATTTTAGCAAGCGTTGGATCGAATCACGCGGTAGATAATCTGCTCAAGTATGAGAAAGAAGCTAGTGCCAGAAAAATACGTCAAGCTTACCAGAGAAATGCATGACAGAGTGACAACGAGAGTTTGAATGACATGTGGCGAAACGGAAGAGTTCCATGTGCGGGTAGGAGTCCACCAAGGATATGCACTGAACCCATTTATGTCCTCGATAGCGACAAGAACGATTACTAAGGATATGCAGGAAGCAGCCTCATACAGCATACTTAATGAAGATGACATTGTACTGTGCAGCAAAATCAAAGAAGCTCTAAAAGAAAAAACTGAGGCGCGGAGATAAGACCTTGAGAAGAACGGTCTTCGACTCAGCGAAGCCAAGTTAGAAAATATGGGGTTATTTTAGTTGGGAGAACAGACTGAAAGCAGTCAAACCAGTGAAAGTAGCAGTGAACATGTTGCTTCAAACCCAAGCATTCATCTACCTTCGTTCCACTCTGCAAGAGAATGTGGAAATCGATCGATAGCGAAATAAAAAAGTTGCTTCGCTTAAAGGGAGAGAAGTGCGACAAGAAGATGTCCATCTAACTGAAGGAGAAGGTTAGAGAACAATAGTAAGACGGTGCTTCCGTAAGGAGCGAAATGCTTGGCTACCCTGAAAAGACACAAGCAATAGCATGTGTTCGGTCACATGAAAAGAAATCCCACCAGGTACTTTGAAAATGTGGTCTAAACACTGAAATTGCAAGGAAATTAAAGAACGGCAACACGAAAGGAAAGATGACGCGGTGTCGTCAAGAAGGATGTGAAAATGTGAGGAGTCTTCCAAAGACAGAAAAATGTGAAGAAGGTTGACTCGATTAGCGGGCTCTTGTTAAAGGGAACATGCTAGGAAAA